TTTTCTGTGTCTGGCTTCGTATAGAGAACAGTCAGTGGCGATTTGAGAAACATTTTTGAGAATCATCCATAATAATAATAAGTGTATTATAAAAAATGAAATTTTGAATGGAATTGATGGATGTGGCCGTTACTACGTGGTAGAAGATTATCATAAAAAATTAGAAATGAAATTATTGAGTTTACAATTTGAGAAATTGTATGAGTTTCGAAAATATAATAATTGTATTTGTTTGGAGATGTCTGTGTAGGACGAAACTCCAGTAACGTTAGTTACAAAAAAAGTGGTAGAAAAACATAGAAAGTTGCATTTCTCATTTTTTATGTTTTGAATGTTTTCAAAACAGCAATAACAAAAAATCAATATTAGATTACATTCTAGATCGCCTTACTCATATTCTCAACCGATGTGCGGAGGAAGGTGATTACCCCTGTGATTTCAAAGAAACAATTGTTACTCCACTATTCAAGAAAGGGGACACATATATTATCACAAATTATCGTCCTATCTCATTAGTCACTCATCTCTCGAACATTTTTGAAGAGATTATCAAACAAAGGCTCATCTCTTTCCTTGATAAATACAATCTGATTACCAACAATCAATTCGGATTTAGAGAAAAAATGTCAACCCAAGATGCTATACTCACTCTGACTTCAAAAGTAACTGAGGCCTTGAATGAAAGCAAAACCATTCTGTGTGTCTTCATTGACCTTTTGAAAGCATTTGACACCGTCAGTCACCATCTAATTCTTCAGTCTTTAGAAGATATCGGAATACGGGGTAACTCGTTGAAATTATTTGAAAGGTATTTAACAGGAAGGAGCCACGCAGTAAGAATCGATGATATATTGAGCAGTGATAAGGTGATCGACTGTGGAGTACCTCAAGGTTCCGTGCTGGGACCAATACTATTTAATANGGAGTTACATTTTCTGCTGCATAATTGTCCATGTCTAATCCATCTAGAGGAAATTTAAAAATAAATAAATAAACATCGTCGAATCGTAAAATCACAGAGTCTTAAAAAGCATGAGAACCAATGAAAGTATAATAACCACTGATAGCATGGAAATAGAAATACATTAAATAAATGGACACACGGAGGAGGTCGTTTTGGACGTGAGGTGGCTACTGGTGGAGTTCCGGATTCCAAATTTATTTATATATTTATTTATACACTGTTCTACAGGTTACACCCAAGTCAAATCAGCATACAATATAATTTCAATAAGTTGTAAGGTAAAAACAGTACATATAGAATTAGCTAAAGTAAAAAGACCTAATCTCAGATATGAAATATCTGCTGAATTGCATTTGATACACATTTTATACAGAGGTGAACTTTTCAGAATATTTGTAAGTGGTGTTGGCAGCTGAAACGGATTAATCACTCTGAAGGTTGGTCTAGGTAGACTGAAATTAAGTTTTTGCAGAAAATATGGGTCAATAATCAAATTACAAACCAGTTTAAAAATGAAAATTGTGAAGTGACCATCACGATGGCAACTCAAGTTATTCATAGCATGTCTAGCTAATAATGCATCATGGGAAAATCCAATTGGTGGATAGATATTGTCTGATCTATAGGAGAAAAGTTTTAGGAAACTATGTTGTGTGTACACAACTGATGAGATGGATTCCAGATTATGAATGCATACTATAAATTTGATCTGATGAAAGCATAGTATAAGGTTTTCGATGTAGATGGATCCGAAAAATCTCTGGAGTTTCATGCAAATATCACAGGAGTCTATGAGGAGAAGTGTAAAACAACACCTTCAGGTTTCCTTGATGGTTTCTGAAAATACGATTTCGTAAGGTTCAGTGCATTAAATCCTAGGGTAAACCTCGTCCTTTGTTATATTTCCTATTGAAACCGTCATTGGAAGGAGTAGGAAACTTCAAACCATTGACAGTGTGATTTCTTCGAAAAGTGACCATTTATATACAACATTGATTCAGTATTTTTGGTAATTCATTCATTTCTAGGTTGGAAATGCAAAACCCTATTGAAACTAGTGACTCGTATCCTTTTATTCATTGATATCTTTGAAGTGTGTTCTATTCCAATGTAATCAACTTGGTTTACAGTGACAGGTGTTGAGAAGGAGTACAGTACTACTATACACTTCTGTAGATGACGTCCTAGTAAGAGGTTTCGATTTGATATTTGTTTTCAGCACTTTTGAGTGAATTTTTATAGTTAATCAAGAACGGACCTGCTCCATTGTCTCCGCAAATCAAGATCAAGTCATTCCAACTGAACTGAACTGAACTCAATTTTTCAATTGATTCGAACATAGTTTCAAGAAGTAAACTTTCTTGTGTGGAGATTTCGTTCATACCATCTCACCACTTTTCCATATCTGCTCCAACTAATAGGCAGACGCGGTCATTCCAAACATTCCATTGGAAAAAAATATACTTTCCACATTTCATCTATTTGTAATAGCATTTGAAAGAGACACAAACTGAATCTACTTGATTCATCCACAACGTTCAGCACTCCTCTCATTCTTCTGACTACTATAACCACCATAACTTTGCTGACTCCCTAGTGGGAAATTATGATGTAGAAGAAATATACCTCCAAACTTCACAAAATGCGATGTAGGCAATTTACCTCATCAAAATACATAATCTCTGAAGTTGCTGAGGGATGTTGAGGGATGCGAAGTTCCAGTTTCCGGGGTGAATATTATTGAACAATAATTAGTTCGGAACTTTCTCACGTTGTTTCATTGATAAATTTACTGGAAGATGTTTCAGCGCGTTACGCGAAGTTGTTAGTATGAAGTTACTGGAAGTAGGTGAATGATGCAACTACATCAGAAATGCACTGAACTGATAATATACACAAGAATTTCTATCAGGAAAATTATAAAATAGTTTCATTGATGATTGTAGAAATGAATGACTACTCTGAACTCATTTTAGATGAAATAATGACCTAAGAACTGAAGTCCACGTTAACGAAGTCATGGAATCAGCTATCATATCACAAATTATTTAATGCGACAGGATATTCCGAAATAGAAACTTCGGTTTTGGTGCTGATTTGAACTCAAGATCCAATATTATCCAGGTTATTTCACATATTGATGGTTTTCTTTATAGTAGATATCAGTTCAAAAACCTTTCAGAGGTTATTGATCCAAATATGTTACAATTTTCTACACATGGAAAATGAGTTCAAAATATTCCATTCCTCTCAATATGAGTGTCTTGAAACAACCACCAATCGAATGTCATGGCTATTCAACTGCAACACAAATCTCTACTAGAAAAAATATTGATTTATTTCCTCAATAAGAATCAGCACTATTTTGGGGTGACTTTCAGTTTGATTGTCATTAGGGGAAAGGTGTACCAGCAGATGATTACCCTGAGAAAGAATGCTTGTAATTTCAAAAACATTCAGTTAAAAAAAGATGTAAAAGTTCATGCTAGCAAATTTAACGATCTTCCAGTTTCCACAATCGAACTAAAACTTTCATTATTTTTATTTGACTATTATCAAATTTTGGCAAAAGCGTAATCTTGTACACCCTGGTATCCAAGATGATCCTAATGTTGTATCTAGGAATCGTTTTGCTCCTTTTTTGGAAATTTGATGAATCTCTACGTAATCAAAATAAAACTATGAAATCTTTGAAAAATTAGCACTCAGAGCAAAATTGGATCAAAACCAATACCATACTGATATCAAATTTGAAATACTTCTAGCTTTTCAGGTTAGTCCAGTAGAAGTCCTAGTGTTTTTACACACAAATCACAAGTATATTCCTCAGGATCATTGCTATCTATCCCCGCACAAGTTTGATGACCCCATTTTTAATATTCACAATGTTTTATCCACTCATTTTGTCCTTGAGAAATGTTTCCGTTCAAAATAGACATTCTGTATCTTCTTCTTCTTCTTCAGAAGATTCAGTCTAGAAGATATGAGAATTTTGCTTCATCTTATTAAACCCCCCCTTCATCTTTTCACTTTGTCGCTTTCCAAAAGTACTTTTTCTTAAACGTTCCTTCTGTATCCTCAGAAAATAGATTATGATCACTCACCTTGCAATATTTCAGATGCCCAGGCTCTGATAGCGGGTCCTCGAAAATAGGTTCTGATCACTTATCCTATTTCCCTTTAGATACCCAGGCTTCGATATCGGGTCCTCAGAAAACAGATTCTGATCACTTATTCTTTTCCATTTCAGATGCCCAGGCTTCAATATCAAGTCCTCAGAAAATAGACATGATCACTTATCCTCTTCCATTTCAGATTTTCAAGCTTCAATATCAAGTCCTCAGAAGATAGATTCTGATCACTTATCCTCCTCCATTTCAGATACCCAGGCTTCGGTATCGGATTCTCAAAAAAAAAAATTCAAATCACATATCCTTTTCCATTTCAGATGCCCAGGCTTCCATATCGGGTCTTCAGGAAAAAGATTCTGATCACTTATTCTCTTCCATCTCAGATTTTCAGGATTCAATATCAAGTCCTCAGAAGATAGATTCTGATCAGTTATCCTCATCCATTTCAGATACCCAGGCTTCGAAATCGAGTCCTCAGAAAATAGATCATGATCACTTATCTTCTTCCATGTCGGATCCCCAGGCTTCGATATCGGGTCTTCAGAAAATGGATTATAATATATTCTAATCATTTAACCTCTTCTAGTTTAGATGCCCAGATTTCGATATCGGTCTTCAGAAAAAATATTGTATTCACTTAACCTCTTTCATTTCAGATGCCCAGGCTACGATATCGGGTCCTCAGAAAATAGATTCTGATCACTTACTCTCTTTCATTTACGATGCCCTGGCTTCGATATAGGGACCTCAGAAAATATATTCTAATCACTTATTCTCTTTAATTTCAGATTTCAAGGCTTCAATATTGAGTCCCCAGAAAATAGATCCTGATCAGTTCTCCTATTCCATTTCGATATCGGGTCCTCAGAAAATAGATTCTAATCTTTTATTCTCTTCCATTTCAGATGCTCAGGCTTCGATATCGGGTCCACCAGAAGTCTATGTCAAGAAAGGCAGCACCATCTCCCTAACCTGCACAGTGAATGTTCATTCCACACCTCCTTCGTCGGTTCTTTGGTACCATGGACATTCAGTGGTGGATTTTGATTCTCCTAGAGGTGGTATCAGCCTGGAAACAGAAAAAACAGAAGCTGGTACTACGAGTAAACTACTGGTCACTAAAGCCTTGCTAACTGACACGGGAAATTACACGTGTATGCCGTCCAATGCGAGTCCGGCGTCAACTGTAGTACACGTATTGAATGGTAAGATATTACTGCTCTGGTTACGTTTTCCCTCTTCTCAGAAAAATATTTTATTGTCAGTCTGGGGTGGAATTTTCTATCTAAATTCTCTCTATGATATATGTCATTCATTGTAGCTTCTCGATACAGAAATAACAGTAACCCTACATCTCTCGAATGTTTTCTATCAGTCGACAAATTATATTTTGTTCGAGTGACATAAGCAGATTATCTCAAATATTTTGAGCCGAATGAGTATTGATATCGGTTTCGTTTCTCGGTTATTCTATTTTCATTGCCATTTTCATTATTTTCACTTCAAATTTCACCTTTCGTTTGATCTCCGACTTTTTAAAACATACAATTTGAAGACAGTGTCAAGCAAGATCGACCAAACATTTTAATCGTGTCTTTATAGAGTACAATCAATGGACTGCAAATTGTAGTAGTCAAGTTTTTGTATTCATATTTCGGATGTTATCATTGTTCGTGAAGTACCACCTCGACGGAACAGTCTCGTGTCTAACACATAGATGGCGCTAGTCTCAGTGCATTTACCGCTTTTTCAGTAAGTGCTAATCTTCAAAAGGGAGCTGTTGGAATTTCATGATATTCCACTGAAAAGTTTGTGAGTTATTTATTGTGCTGAGAGTGACACTACAATTGCTCTTTTAGAAACAATGGATCAAAATCAATTTCTCGTTTTAATTCAATACCGTTAAAGCATAGCAAGGACTCCGCTCCATCAGGAACAACAATTAAACGTTGGTTTGTTGACTTCAAACGTGGTCGTCGAGACACCGATAATGCAGAACGCAGAATGCCTCATCCAAATGAGGCAGTAACAAAAAATCCATAAAATCGTTCTGAGCACATGAACATTATAATCAAAATGAAGCTGTTTTCACGGTGAGTGCCGCGCTAGCTCACTGTTGACCAGAAACAAAAACGTCTTGATGATTCTGAGCACTGTTTGGCCATGTTTGAACGAAACAAACCAGAATTATTGCATCGACATATGACAATGGTTGAAACATGGATACATCACTCCACTCCGGAATCAAAATAATCGTTATCTGAGTGGAGAGCAACTGGTGAACCTTGTTTATAGAGTCCGAAAGCACAAAAATCAGCTGAAAAGGTTATGGCCTCTGTATTTTGGTATGTACGTGGCGTAATATTCATCAAGTATCTTGAGAAGGGGAATACCATTGAAGGTGAATATCATTTAGCGTTATTGGAGCGTTTATACACTAAAATTGCAAATGAGAACATTTTGTTCCATTAAGACAACAAACCGTGTCACAAGTCAATTAAAACAGTGGCAAAAGTGCATGAATTGGGCTTCGAATGGCTCTGCCTCCACCGTATTCTCCAGATCTGTCTCCACCGACTTCTTTCCCACAAACTTCAAATGATTGCTCATCGGTGAGAAATTTGGCTCAAATGGACAAGTCGCTGCTGGAACTGAGGCCTATTTCGGAGGAGAAAATAAAGAATTTCACAAAAGTTGTATTGAAATGTTAGATCGACGATGGAATGGTTGTGTGGTTTCTGGTGGAGATTAGGTTCATGAAAAAAGCCAACTTTGAAGGAAACAAACGCGATTTCTCAGGCCCGGAACTTTCCAGCTCATGTGTTGATTCCGTTTCTGATGGGTTGAATTTTCATATACTCTGGCTAACTTTGGCATTGGTGGGGAACAATCAGAAAGGGATAACGTAATAGAGCATCATAGACAACCGAATAATCACGGAACTATTTACAATCGACCCCTTCCAATAACAGAGAATGTCAGAAGTTAATTAATTTCCCCAACATTCAAATATTTAACCACCCCAAGTAAAACAAACCGCTTCCATGGCATGTCATTTCTCCAAACTCAAACCATTATATTCCACTACGAATGTGATTTCTCATAGTTTGATTATAATTTGTGGAGCTTATTCTTGTTTATTTGCCTAACGCCGTCCCGATTCCAGTTTTATCAACAAAGCAGCTATGAGGGCTCAACTTTGACTTCGCTCTATGTGAATGAAGGAAAATCAATAGTTTGAAATTTGATATGAGCACATTTCATTTTGTTCCCTGTTTCTTTCATTTCTGGCTAGCTCCTATATTTTGACAATGGGATCCAAACCATCGGACTCATCGAAATAAATCCAAGAGTACCGCAAGGTTCACTGCTAGTCCACTACTCTTTCCTATTCATTCCAATTTTTATGTCTATTGTCCAAGAAATCCTCATTGCATTGACAAAGCTAGTGAAATTTCATGAAGTCAATAATGTTAAAGTTTTAAAAAAATATCAAAATTATGATATACAATGAACATATACGAATACACATGAACAAAACAATATATAAACCATAACAGATAATAAATAAATAAATCATCACAGATATATAGGCATTTGGAATACTGAGAGTTAAAATGTATCATTGTAATATTCCTTTAGGCTTTTTGCAGAAGTACTCTTTAACTGATTTTCCGATTAAAAAAAAAATTGCTCTGTAGCACATTGGAAGGTGGTTGTGTATTTTCTTGCTCTTATATATCAAAGAAAATTTTGTAATTGCTGAGACCTTGAGACTCCTAGATTCTATCTTGTGGAGAGCTATCTGCTTGAATGAAGAACCAAACATCGGTAGCAGATTTGATAACCTGGAACATAGCAGATAAATTGTGGTATTTTTTCTATAGATATCTCTCTCGCTCTACTCCATCTAGAGAAATACTTGTATATACAGTATGATGCAAATATATGGAATAAATTCAATACTTTGAAAATAGGTGTCTTTCGGAAGGAATCTAAAAACACGTCAATTCTGATTTTGGACGGCCCATCTCATGGTATACATTTGAGTGACGTTTCGTTACCGGTGTTGGCGTGATGACGTATTCATTAATCTTTTTAAACTGAAACAGGGATAATGTAGTATCTCATTCAAAAGGTCCACTAATTGTCTATTCAATGGTGTAATTATTTCAATATGTATTGATACAGGGTCAACCTAAATTATCTATTTAGAAGAATGAAATCACAATAAATAATCATTTGTTGAACTAAATCATGTCAATAAGGTCTGCCACTGAGAATAAAACATCGTAGTGCCCTCTATTGTTTTTGTTGACTCGGAAAAAGACATGCATTTATTGATAAACGTTCTACACCTACATTCTTGAAATTATTCAGTGTCATTGGAGTGAATTATCATTGGAGCGTTTGACATCATTTCTGTAAAAATATTTCAATCATTTATAATCTGGCAATGAGACTCACAGAAACTGAATGAATCGAAATTTTGATTATGATTAACTGTGGAGACAAAGTAAGGATTCAGGCAGAAGTTCGAGATCTATTCAATACTCAATAAATACCCAAACCGAAAACCCGTTTCTCAATCAACAATCAGTAAAATTGAGAGAAGCCCAAAAACTTGACGTGGTAGGTAGGTCTAAAGTGAGTGGGTCTATTCGACCCTCCACCGCAACCCATAAGGGTTTATTGTGGCTCACACCTATTCACACTCGTCCAAATAAACCCAGCTTCACAACAAAGCCAATTAGTTTGTATGGTGAGTGGTCTTTCAGGTCAGATGGTGAGAGTACGGATCTGCCGAACTCAAAGAACCTGATTCGGTCCCCAGCAGGGCAGGCACAAAGTATGTGCTCTGTTGTTTCATCACTTTCCAAACAGAGGCGACACACACTGTCTTCTGACATTCCAAGTCTCTGCATGTGATGATTCAAATGACAGTGACCTGTAAGAAGGCCTGTTAGACATCGTAGTTCATGTTTTTGGAGTTCTTCCATTTGTTAAATATCTAATTTATTGCATGCATTTGTATAGTACTGTATGAAAGTAAACTAGTTTTTCCGAATGGATGTGATCTGTGGCTATTCATATCCAACGTGTTCTGTATGAGGAAATATAATTTATCGAATATCAAAACTAGTTGACCAGTGCTCTTTCAGTTCGTAGCTAATGACAAACTAATCCGGTCCTCGCCATATCTATATCCTGAAACAAAAACTGTTTTTGCTCCTTGGACCATTAGACGTTAGTTCCATAACTCTGGCAATTTACGTCACATCCTGAAGAAATATGGGACTTATATATTCTGACACGATAATTTAGTATCTGGCTACAAAAGTTTTTCCGCGTGTTTAAATAAGGTCCTCTTGAAGTTATACACTGGAGTTGGGCAACTCTTGAGTGAACAAAACTTTTGTTTGCATAACATCATGACCTTATTAAGTCGAAGGAGTTGAAATTGGTGGAGAGGTGAAGGAAATTTTGGATTTATTGCTGAATTTCCATGACTCTTCGGTAAACATCCCGGAAAGAGGAAGTGAATTTCCACAGAGTTTTGAAGTTTGTTCTGAGTTGTTTGATGATGAGATGATCATGGAAAAATTATCGGATGTAATTGATCGTTAAACCAAGAGAACACAGAATATTACCATAAAATCGTTACAATAGAAATGTTGAAAAGAAAAATATTCAAAATGACATGTATTTGATAGAGATTGAGAAGAAAATAACATTCTCAGTGAATTCCATGAAATAAAAATGTGGTAATGAGGGAGGTAAATTACTGAGTGAAACAAAATTTTGTCATTGGTGACGGAACGCAAAGACGAGCTCCAATTTAATAAAGAATTATTGAATACTATTCAATATTTCTGAGAAAGTGAATCCTTCAACGAATCATTCCCCCCCCCCTATATTTCTTCGAATATATAGGCATGAACCGAACTCTAATGATTATATTCTAAAGCAATTCGATCTGGTTATGAAAAATCTGTATGTCTTCATTAATCTAACCAAACGTTGATATTTATTTATGTCATTACAATTGAGAAATAAATGAATATTAGAAAAAGACATTTTTTGGTAATCCAAAATAGCGTTACTTCAAGGCCATACTGAAGACATAATTTCAATAATAAATGAAATACGTAATGTCGTTTCATCATCATCACTTCAATTTTTGAAACGAAAATCTGCGTTTCTTCCACGTAGTTATATAAAAAATATGTTCATCGGACTGTTTTTCAGTAGATTATTCGATCGGTTACCATGACCCACAATTTTGCAAAAAACATTCACAAGAAATAATTTTCGATACTCCTACGAAGCACTTCTTTGATATCTAATATCACCTTGTTGTACGTTTTGGGTGAAGGCTGTAATTTTTCATTTTATATGGATTGGTGTCGTTCAGATCTTTCATCTTCAACAAGCTGACTCGGCAAACTTCTTACTTCCCCAGAACTGAATATTGTGCAGAAGTTCAGTAACCAATAATCAGCAGTCAATAAAAAAAATCATATATATAATCATGTATATACATATACATATACATATACATATACATATACATATACATATACATATACATATACATATACATATACATATACATATACATATACATATACAGTATATGAATTTTTCAATGAAAATCAAGAACTGACGAGATCATTGAATTGAATGGTGGGAACAGTTGTGACAATTTTACTCGTCGACCAGCAAAACATGATCCAGTAGATCCACTGGTGTATTTCACCTCCTTACAATTATGACAAATGATTGTCATTTCTCCAATCTTCACAGATTTTCCGACGGAATAATCAATACTTGGATCGTATAAGAATGCATTCTGTTTAAAAAATCTGTTTAAAATTTGTTTTTCCGTCAACCAGCTGTCGCACCTCTGAAAACGACAACCCTCAGAAGTCGAAACTTGTGCGAGCTAAGGATTAACGAGGTCTTACCTTTTACGTGGGATTGCTGACTTTCAGTCATTCTAGAAGGCAAATCTGACATCCCAATAAAACTTTTTCAAGGACAAAACATAAGCACTACGAAAAATCTTCAAGGCGCTCTGAGATCGGTGCCTGTGCGAAGGTGGTGAGTTTATTTGAATCGCTGGAGATTGAATTCATATGAAAAAACGTTATCAAGAAGTTTATTCCACATGGACGCAGTTGTACAAATGGGAGAGTTCTTATTAACAGTGAAGTTTGAAGTGTAGAGAGTTGAACCTCAAAATGATGAGCAGCCAGAGTCCATTACGTATATCTGATATGTTTCGCTTTTGGTGGAATCAAATGTGCCAAGTCACTTGAATACCTTCCATGGAAGTAGCCATTGAAGAGAGATAAGTCTCCAACTTTTCTTACATCTCCCATACTATCAGTGTTTCAAGCTTTCGAGAAGCAGCCTTTTCAGTTCCAGCGAAATGATTGTGCCAAGACATATTCGTTTCATTTATCCTAAGTTCGCAGCTGTTGCGAGCATCAACAAACCTAGATCGATTTTTGCCGCTGAGATTTTTGGAGACGACAGATTGCTAGCAATTTTTGTTGAACCAAGGTTTGCCGTTAGTATTCAGTTTCATTGAAAAAGAAATATATGCCACCATGGATGATAGAATAACTTCCGTGACCTCTGAAGTACAAAAAGGTGGATACTCAGAGCTGAAACAAATATCTAGCCAGGGGAAATTTTAGAAATGGTCTTGAAGATCCTCCACTCAGCAGATCTTTGCACGGCTCAGATTGTTCTCCAACATTCATCGGCAATTTACTCAACAATGAAATGCGTTTGTGACTGTGACGGTGACTGTAAATTTCCGGATTGGTTGCTAGATTCAGATCCAGAAGACTAGCATATTCTCCATCACGGTCAGGAATCCCAGTTGACTCATTTATAATCTGAGTAAGTCCGCTGCTTATTGCAAAAGCCTCAGCTTCACGACCTTGTTCGTCGTTGACATTCGTAAATTTGAACCGATCGTTAGTGTAGATATTGAGGATCATCGAATATGAGAATTTCGGCACCGGGATGATTGATTTGCAGGAAGTCAATGGTGTTCCCAAACGAAGAGAATAGTTTCCTATATTGTGTATCGCTTTGTCGAAGCACGGAATTTGGTTTCTGTGAGTGCCAGAACTATTTGTTTTCAGATATTGGTGCACTGAGTGTATATTTGAGTTGGGTCCTTTGATGTTGCAGAAATCGATTTCGAAAATGCAAGTCGGTATCTTGGTGCTTATGATGGTCTTCACTAAACAAATGGGACAAATACGCCATAATGACATTCACAAACACTGCTTAGATAGATTAGGCTCCATTTCCCAGTATCATGTATATTACACAAAAAATGGTTTTTTCCCGATTATAAATATTGTGTAGTAGAAATCAAATTGAAAATGATCCGGTCAGTTTCAGTTCATGGTCCCATTAGGATATATGTCATGTCAGATTCTTAGAGATAATAGAGCTCTTCAGTTTCATTGATAATTCAATTATTCCAAGACTTGAATACTTGACTTCAATCGTAATATGTTTTTCTACTTTAATATAAATACAATATTCCTTGTATAATAATCATTCAAACTAAAATGTCGTTTTTGATTGAGCTATTCATGTATGTTACTTCACAAAGTTTTTCTATTTTCTGTTTAATTTCCTCCATGGATAAATTCAACAAACATTGAAAATCATTTCCAATTTTCAATCAAACACAAACTTCATCTTGTGAACCACATGAAATATTGCTTCATGGCCATGCTATTTATATTCAGACCAACTCCTTGATCAAAATACACTAAACTTTCCGAACAACTTGAGTTGTTAAGGAATTGCTGCTTTCAACGATATACAAAGGATACAAAGATTTGAAACTTTCTTTATTAAATTTTATATGAGTAATGAAAGAAGGTTTGTTATCATTCTATAAAGATATTCGATAATATGACGACTGGCTACGAAAGAAAAGAATTCATTGCAATAAACAGCGACTTGTATATATGAGTCAACATATGATAAAGGCTCACAAGAAATAATTTTGAAAATATTTTTTCCTCTTTCCCTTCACTGACTTCATATTCTACTGAGGCATGTTGTCTGATTTCCTGGTGACATTATTACAGAGACCGGGTGTTTTGACTGGGTGTTACTCGTTTCATTTCTGTTATCAATATGTTGTTTGAATATCTTCAGCAAATTCGTTGAAAATTTTTTTCCAGTTGTGATATTCCTTTGGATTGGTTTTGATTGATAACGAATTGCCTATATCCAAATATAAAAACTCGTCTGGTTTCACTTTGGGCCATACAACGTGAGCCAGGAGGGGATCTTCAAATGGAGTTGGATTTCTGAAAAAAAGGTTAACATTCAAATAGAACTTGTGATGTACTGTTTGGAACCTTTGTTGTAGTGATGAATATTACTGGAGTTTTTTCCCAACACCAAATAGTTATTTTTAACACCTTTAACAAGTGATAATCTTCAAGAGAAAGATAATTCTTCCTCTTGAAGATGATCACTTGGTGATCGAAACACGTGTCGAGGTGTTGAGAATAACGATTTGGTGTTGGGAAAATCTCCAATAATATGCATTCAAACCAAAGTTGAAGTGTGATCAATTTCAATGTTATCAGCATATTCATTTCTTTTGACGAACATTTGTGTACTCACAGATATTTCATGAAGTTTGTCCATAATCTCAACATTCTTGATTGTGTTAGTAAGTCTGACTCGGGAACTTTGTCGATCTTGGAGTGAAATCCTACTTTGAATAGGTAATAATTATCCTCTGCATGTCCTACTCGTTCAGCGCCTAGAAATGTATAAGTAGTGGTTGTTAAAACTTCTTTTTTTTATTTGTATCGAATAACATCCCGGTATATCGCTCAAAATCATAATTTCCATAAATTGATTGATGTAAGGGATTGTGGTAGAGGATCATCATGAAACACGAAATATGAAACTTTCTATGTTTTTTATTAGCACGCTTATGTATGTATGTATGTATGTTTGTTTTATTGTTTGTAACTCTCAAGCTCGTGATCTGTATTTGACAGAGTAGTAGATATTATTGTTTGATCTATTCGCGGGCAGATGGCGCTGTACCTAACCTCCTTGATATATATTGCTTGATCTATTCGCGGGCAGATGATGATGTACGTAACCTCCTTGATATAATTCGAACTCACTTCACATGTATTTCTTCATTTGACAAATGTATTTTAATTACCACTAGCGCCTGTTACCTTATTTGTAACCCTCCTTTGCGCGCCTGCTGCCTTGGGCTTGGTAGATAATTTTCAGACTCGCTTTCCGAAATCGAAAAATATCCATGGTCATTTTTCTAAACAATATGCGGCCGATTGATCCCAAAGTTTAGATGGAATAAATATAGTTTAAAAAGACTGAAAAACACGCTTTCATAGCATACGAAACTGAAAAATCAAAAATAAATATAGTTTAGAAAACTAAAAAAACACGCTTTTGAAGAACATCGAACTAAAAAGTTAAAAATATTTTTTTTAAAATGAGCTTAAAACAATAACGAACGAAAAATACAAGTATTATTGTGAAGAAAGCGTGGGCGCTTTATGCCATATTTTTTGTATATCAAGCACTCGTCGTTTGTTCCACAATAATACTAGTATTCTTCGTTCGTTATTGTTTCAAGGTTATTTGAACAAAATATTTTCAATTTTTCTGTTCGATATTCTTTGAGAAGGTGTTTTTCAGTTTTTAAAAGTATTTTTATTTTTCGACTTCAATTTGTAACCAATTCTATTGCATTTTTGTTCTATATAGGCATTTTCAAACAAATTGGTTTCAGTGAAGTGTCCTATATGGATAGTTTCAAAGAAAATTGAGCTATCGTGAGAAATTATGATGAAAAATGGGAAATGAAACTTTCTATGTTTTTTAAACGCACTTGTATTTGTAACTAACGTTACTGCAGTTTCATTCCAATTTTCAGACTAATTAGTTTCAAAATATCCATTTAGGACAAAACCGCAGTAACTTTAGTTACAACTGAAAGTGGTAAAAAAATATGGAAAGTTTCATTTCTCCTTTTTCATCAGGATTTCCCTCAAAAGCTCGAACCATATGACGAATCCACTTACCAGGAACTGAAGCGGTATTGAAGTTCAGCTTGCCATGATATGAGAACTGATAAAAAAATACGTCTGTATATTTGGACTGCAGATCCGCATGTCGTGCAACAGGAGTGGTATATTTGGCATCACTAATGTACTGTAAAAAATGATTTATATCAATATTTTCAGTCATGACTCAGTTACAACATCTATTTTCGATCATAGTGATGATATCAAATTTACGTCAATGCGACACGACTTATTTCTCTGGTAGCAGGTGTTCTTGGGTTTGAGAAATTATTACCACCTTGCTATACAAGTAGATTGTCTGTTCTCATTCTTGTTTGAAATTATTTCAATATCTAATTGGGACCCAAGAATGTACTGTACTGGCGACTCGCCGCAGCTCCGCACGGGTGCAATGCTGATACATAATATACATATGAACGCCGCAGCCGCTATGTCTCTGCATTTTGAATCTGTAACGTCATCAAAAATGTTTATTCAGATCACATGCTGTAAAGGACCATATCGATCTATAATAAATGCACAGTTTATTTAAGGTACTAATCGAATAAAGATCAATGCTGTTTTGCTCAAAATCGATTCTTAAAAAAGTGGAGAATGAAAATTGATCATTGAAGATTATCCGTAAAAGATAAACATATACCATCGCGTAGGGTTTAGCCAGCGCGCGCGCAGAAAATGTGTTTATTTACATCACACTAGAGACCTATGAAATTATAAGTCTTTCCTATTATATTTTGCATGTTATATACTTATAAATCTTTCTCTTGAATCACTTCATCTATTTAAAAACCGCTTCAAAATACGTTGCGTAGTTTAAAGGTCTATGCATACAGCGAGGGGCAGACAGCGAGAAGCGACTCTGTTTTATACTATACAGTGATTTGAGCGTATATCTCTATTTGAAAGGTGAAAGATTTGTAAGTTACATTACTTTTCATTTTCGAAAGAGAGAAAGAGACCAGAAAGAAGAGAGAAAAATTATTATTTTCTTTCATTTTTTCAACTTGATGGTATGGTACAAGAATGTTATGACATTTGATTCATATTTGAAGAAGATGTTATGAAAACATGACATTTTCAGTAATAGAAACGAACGTTATCATCAAGACTGGAAGTTGAATTCTCTCAAATATCCCTGTAGCTAAAAATGTAAGGATATATTGTAATCTTATACCTTGTTTCACCATTAAGCAGACGTAGCCTCCTTCGAGCGAAAACCCTCAAAAGTCCTAGCTTGTGTGAGCCAATGATTATCGAAATTTTTCCTTTTATCGTATGAATCATGGCACGGGTTGAATAATACGCAGGAAAAATTTATTGTTTGGCCACAGAGCTCGAATCACCATTTCATATAACGGTTGATATTGTAGGTACAGTATATCACTCACGTCAGTCTAACTAGCTACCGTTCAACAAATTACAAATAATATTTGCTCAGTATCAGAGTGAATTGAAAATTGAAACCTACCCTGACAAAAGATCCAAATTCTTCTCCAAATGAACTATTTGTATACAATTTCTTCAACATTTCTCCGGCTGGCTGCTTGTTTTCTGCCTTCATATTGAGATTTCCATTGATCAAGAAGGAGGTGTTGCTGTCAAAATATTTTGCCTTGGACTTGAGTTTATTCAAATCTGTAATATCAGAATAAAATGGCTCACAAATTCAAATTCAACTATTTTCATATGACCCAATATATCTACTGAGCAGTCGACAATTTTTCAATTTTGACAGATCAAGATCTTCAGATGATGTGGTGTTGCAGGTTTTTCCGGATTATCCTGCAGCTGAAATTGCTTTTTATTGTTGTTTTTATTTTTATCGTTGTAATATCAAATAGTCATTTCTCAAATAAAACTGATTCAATAGCTCGGTATGTTTATTTTAAAGACTAAATTATGGACAAGATATTGTTTCAATACTTCTGAATATGAAGCTATTATAAATTCCATCTCAAAGATTTCCCACTAGCTTTAAATAATTTACAATATTCTTTCAAAATTCGGATGTTGAAGTAAGTTTATTTAGTGAATATAAAATTTTACACAAAAATTGAAAATTGTGATGAACTGTTTGGAAGCTTTGGTGTAGTAATATATATTACTGGAATTTCATCTTAACACCAAACCATTATTTTCAATACCTAGACACGTTTCTCGATCACCAAGCGATGATTTTCAAGAGGAAGATTGAAAGTTCAATATTCTTTTTGAATTTCATCGGTTCGGACCATTGTCTAATATAATATAAATTGATTTGAAATTCCTGAAAAAATATTAAAAGATTAACCGAAAATAACAATTTTATTCGAACAAAAAAACTGAAATTACAAAGAAATGACTTAAAACAAAACAACAAAAAAATAAAAACTTAAATATTAATAAAAGCTGAAAATTAAAAATTATTATTAACAAAAAATTAAAAATGAAAATTAAAAGATTTCAAACCAAGTTATGTCACGACGTTTCGATTGTTAGTACCCACAATCGTCTTCGGGTGATAACTGGACTTATTCCCCCGAGATCCGAGTGCTTTCACCTATCCCTTCTTCTCTCTCTCCGCTTCATTGGTTTTCACTGGGAGATGACCGTAGGAATTTCAAGTCAATTTATATTAGACAATGGAAGTCCGAACTGATGAAATACACCACGAAACATTGTCAACCACCGTCAAACAAAAATTTCTTTTGAAATTCACTTGATGATTCAAAACGAGTCGAGGTGTTGAAAATGATGGTTTTGTGTTGGGATAAAACTCCAATAATATTCAAAAATGAAAATTTTGCTGAAATTAGGATGTTCTACATATCATTTGTTCCAGAAAAACTCGATTCAAAAATGTAGCACGGTTGTAACATATTATAATTCATATAATTTTTGCTTCTGGAGAATGAATCCATTTCAAATTTCATATATTTATCATCATTAGATTGGATCAGGTTATCGGGGAGCTAGCTCATGGCCTGATTCACTGCGATCTATTGTGATGCTCCTCGGTTGATACAGCTCATTGTCTGAATTGATCTCTTTGACGAGACTCCATAGCCTTGACACTGACCCCTTCATATAGCTAGCAGCCTCTGATTTTTCTTCGCCGCATCTTGCGTGTCTCAGCCTTGCTATCGCTTCTCACTCACAGAGCACATGCTGTGCGGTTTCTTTCTCTTCTTGACAGAACCTGCATTGGGTTTCTTCTGTCAGACCCATGTTGCTCATATATTTCCTGTGCCGTCTATGCGCCGATAGTAGACCCACCACTACCCATACAACCTTACAGTTGTAGTTCAGCAGGACGATGGTTTATACAGGCTGATTCACGGTGTATGGCACATTAGACGTTTCTGGTGAACCAGAACCGAATCTACTGCCAATGAACCTCAAGAAATTTATACGAATTCAGAACAATTTCAATGCATTTGGATCAACTTTAAAAGCACCAAGAAACTTGCCTCGACCCGTAACTTTCGAAGACAACCAGATTAATGTCTTAGCATATTTTCACGCATTTCCCGAGTCATCGATGAGAAGTGCTGAAGAAGATTTGGGTATAAAATATTCATCGGTTCAAAGAATCTTGCGAAGACATAAAATGCATGATTATAAATTCACCAAAATTCAAGCAATGAAGCCTCAAGATCCTCAACAGAGAGTAGAATTTTGTGAAATGTTGTTGACACGCATTCAAGAAGATCCACTTTTTTTAAATAAAATTATTTGGACTGATGAATCGAAATTTTCGAGAGAAGGGATTTTCAATAGAAAAAATCGTCATTATTGGTCCAGTGAAAATCCTCACGTCACAAAAGAAGCCGGATTTCAAAAAAAATTTACTTTTAATGTCTTCTGCATGTTGATGGACAACAAATTGAGGTACGTGATATTTTGGAGAATACTGTAGACAGTTTCGTGGATAATCTACCACTCGAAGATTATCGAAACTGTTGGTACCAACTAGACGGAGCTCCTGCACATTGCACAAGAAAAACGAACACAGAACTGGATAGACTATTTGACGATCGGTGGATGAGGCGCTTGGGACCATGGAATTGGCCAGCAAGATCACCCGATCTTAATCCATCAGATTCTTATTTGTGGGGAATGTTTGAAGAAAAAGTTTACAAAATACCCGTGCGTTCGAGAGATGAATTGTTAGAAAGGATTGCCCAAACATTCGAAGATTTGGATCCCAACGAAATCAGATCTGCCACCACGAAAGCAGTCAACACCCGCATTTTAAAGTGCTTGGAAGTGAACGGCCAGCGATTCGAACATATTTCGAAATATTCCACATGATTGTTTTACTTTTTTATAATTATTCATATCAATATTTCCAATTTCAAGTTTCTTGGTGCTTTTTTAAAGTTATGGTTCACCAGAAACGTCTAATGTGCCATCCACCGTGAATCAGCCTGTCTAGTTTTTGCTCTGCCTCCGTATATACCAGCTCTCACTCCTTCTTGGGTCTTTGAGCCATTTGAATACCAAGTTTCTTTCACTTTTATCGGTGGGCCATTTTGCCAGTCTTCTCTACTTGATATGTTGATTTTGAAATTTTTTTGTAAGTTGTACTGCGGAACTGTGTTATCCACGGGCATTTCTAGTATTGGATCTGCCTTTAGTTCATTCAACAGTTTCAAGTATTCTGCACCGTGTGACTGGCTGATTTGGGTGTTATTTGTGATCATAATCACCTCACTTTCTCATCGAATGGCAATATGAAACCAGATCCTTGAAACGAAGCCTTCGTGGTTTCATCAAGATGCCTTGCAAAGCTGCACTGAAAAATGAAAGCTTTCGTGGGAAAATTATCATCACCTTCACTTTTTCTGTAAACGTCTTCCATAGACGTTTATTCCAGCAATGCATTTTTGGTTCGGCTTAGCACCTTTGATGAAACTTTGGTAGAATTACGGATACTTTGTTTTGGGTTCTGGTTGAGTTGCCTTGCATTTGCCTTTCTGATTTTATAGGACACAAGGCCGGTTGTCATCGCATTTTCTTTGACTGACTATCAAATATTTTCTTATTTATCTGTATCACTGATGAATCTTGCATTCACGAAGATCAATTAATTCAATATCCTAACTATTGTGGATACTTACTGAAGCGAAGTTGCTCTTCAGAAGTTATTCCCATCAGAATAGGAACCAGGTTGAAGCGTCCCAGCTTCAGATTTTCATGCATGGATCCTTGAACGAATTGGCCATCTTCTACAGGTGCCCATATTCTATTGTCCTCATTTCCAACAGAGTTTCTCATTTCGAATGGGATCTGTAAAGGACAATATAAATATTTTTGACGGTTGGGTACATCATCAGAGAGACACTAAAATGTTCTATCAGAATTAGGAAACAGAAAGAAATTGAAATGCAAATATCAGTGTTGTTAAGACTGATAGCTCTACAATAAATTATAGAGATAAACCCAATGGACATTGTATCATGCACTAGGAGAGTCCCAAAAATCATATGAAATTGTAGTCTAAACAGGTGGGGCTGAAAAACATCTACATAATGTGGATGTGATTACTGACCCACATCCAATGAAATTAAACTAAAACCTATGGATACTAGAACAAAAAGTAATCATATGAATGTACCAACTCGTGGTAAATATATCGAACAACGTTCTGCGGGGTTTCTAGCTAAAAAAATATTCAACATTGTGGCTCATCATCTGAAAACCGTAAAAACTCACAACCTTTAGAAAAATCACTACTATTGGAAAGGGAGTCAAACAACCTTCGAAATGACATTCACTTGACCCTCTTTGCTCACCAAAACGGGAGCCGAAACATAAAACACAAATCAACCCGTAGTCAACGAGAGAACTAGGAGAACCAATATAAGTGTTTTGTTTCCAACCAATATAGCAGTCCTTTTAGCTACACTTAATGAAAAAATATACAATATACTCCTAACATTCATAATTGAATCTAAAATATCAATTTGAAATGTCAATCGATTGCTTAGAAAATTCTGTGGCAAAATAAACGCAGGTTTGATGCAAAAGGGGGGGAGGTAAAAAAAATAATGAAAGTTACGGGTATCTGTTTGTGATGCACACACTTTTAAGTAAACTAGTCAATCGAAGTGATCAATCGATATCAGAAAATTTAATTCTCTCTGATATTTCTGAAAGTATCTGAAATTTGATAATTATCAATTCAATCAACTTCTCAACTATTGCTGATAATCTGATTCTGCAGAAATTATTAAACACCCCATTTCCACTTTCAATGTATTGACATGATAGGTTTTCTCTACGTCTGCCAGTTTGTAGGGTTTTCAAAGTTACAGATAGTAAAAATGCATACTCAGGAAAACCATAAGAGAAAATTCAAAACGTTTTTCCCAGTTTATGAGGTATTGAAGAAATTAAATTTTTTGTCTATCCTGGTGGTGAATTCAATTGAAAAAACATTTCTGACAAACTTTGTAAATCGGGAAATCAATATCAGCTCATTTTTGTTAACCTTTGAATCAAAGTTCTATACTTGACTTTCATGTAGGTTTACCTCCATGTCACTGTTTCCTTTGATATCTTTTGCAGAAACATTTTGAAGCAATTCCAAGAGTTCTCTGGATGAATTATTGGAGCCAAAGTCACTGTTCAGCAGAGATCCCAGTTTGTAAGCAAAATATCGTGGACTTTTCTGGAACATCTTTCCACAAAGAGGCGAACCACTTTGCATAATCAGTCCTCTGAAGAGTCCTGAAAATTAAATCAGATATAATTTCCCGTTAATTCTTAATATAAAACATTTTGAATTGATATTTTCGTATTCGAGTAAAATAAAATGTCCTGCATATGCAATTGGCAATACAACTGAAAGAGTCGACCTTCAATATTGGAACGGGCACACTTTGCAGACCGTTTTCGGGCTCATCAGCCACTCATCAATGCAAGATAGTGGCCATCATCGACCCAAAGTCAATGATATTCCATAATTCCGTGTTGGGAATCACACGTTAAAAGGTAAGACCCCGTTAGTCCTTAGCTCGCACAAGTTTCTCAACTTCTGAGAGTTGTGGTTTGTATGGGGGCGACAGCTGATTAACGGAAAACAAATTTCAAACAGAATTGACAATCGGAATTCTTTTAGAGTATTTCATTCCTCTTCCTAAGTTGTAGCGAACAACAAAACTTCACTCCATCTAGTGGGCGGGGTATTAACCTACTGCATATCCGAAATGTGCCCGATTCCTCTGAATAAGGAAGAAAAACTTTCTTATTAGTCAGTGGGCTATGCTTGAAGACTGGCAGTAAACAAATCTAAAGAAATGAACTTTAAACGTTCAAGCCAGTCTCGAATATACCTACATAGAAGGTTGAATGGACTGACGCCTATCAGAAAACAACTACTCCGCTGGCTAATACCACGAAGTGCGTTGGATTATATTCGAGAGGCATCAGTCCAGCCAACCTACTGTGTAGGTATATTCGAGACTGGCTCAAATAATTGAAGTTCATTCCTTTAGATTTTTATTTACTGCCAGTTTTAGTTTACTGCCACACTTCAAGCATATCCCACTGACTTATAAGAAAGTTAGTGAATTGTTCTGGAAACTATCCCGACTCTCATTCACTGAAGGTTCATGAGCATTGTGATCATTCCCGATTTCTTCTGGAAAAGAGAATGGAAGCAGAAGATTAATATCGATATCAAATATTGATATCACTATATATTGATATTGATATATTACAGAAATATATCTTCAAACAGTATTCCGTTAATACTTCAATAACTCACTCTCAAGACATGATTATTTCGGTTATTTCACTAGATAATATTGCCTTTCCTAGTCGATAGATCTCATGAAATAGATAGAAAAAGCTTGGAATACACTATTTTCCTCCTGTTTCATCTGAAACTATGACTTTTGGGAGGATGACCGTGCTCACTAGACATAATTAAACTTGGTACCTCTAAAACATACCTTTCGACTGTTTACTCAGAAGGTGATGACCAACTGCTCCTCCCGCCGCACTCTGTCCTCCTAATGTAATCTTCGATGAATCTCCACCAAAGAGATGTATATTATCTTTCACCCATTTCAAAGCTAAATTTTGGTCTTTCAGTCCAAAGTTACCTGATATAACCTCATCTGCAGTACTGAGAAAACCTGAAAAAATATAAAGTGTCACATTGTGATAAATTTATTTTTTGGATTCTTTTCCTTCGTTATGATAGAGAATTTATTTATTTTATACATACTTTCAGAATAATTTTTTTGAATGACTCTTCTGTGATTGTTTCGATTGTGTCAATATACGGAGAGAATCAAAACAGAAAATCATCATTATTCACTCGAGAGATTAACAGTATGAAAACCAAAACAAATTTGTTCTTATAAAATATCGAATGTGGCTAGGAATGGGAGAATTAGAAATTGGAAAATATATTGAGCCATATCATCGTACATATCAAAGTTGAAACCAATTTACAAGTAATGTGTAATGCAACTTCATTATTCTAACTGAACTACTTATAGCAGGGGAGCCCACGATGCAAAATGGGGATTTTCTCGACCGTTATTAAGACATATTAGGTTGCAAAGCTTAGATTATAAGAAGAAAAAAATGTTATATGATATGTACCTTTTCATCGGTGGGGGAAGAGACTATAGATTTTTAAATATGTAAAAAAATACTGTTGCATGGACATACTCGAGTGCGTCGGATATTGATAGCATCAATGTCCTGCGAATTTTAATAATGTTGGTATGTTAATCTGATCGTTTGCATGATGTGGGTGGTTGTACGTAAGGGTTGGAAGTGAAAAGAAAAAAAATGTAATGGATGCGTCAGATTTTCTAAGGGGGTGTTGAGTGCAACAAAAAAAGCTCTCATTCAATAATCTGACGATTTAGATCGGGCGCAAACACGCGGTCATTATTATAATGTGCAGAAAAAATTCGTCCTTTCGAAATACTCCAGCGTCAGATTGAAATATATATGGTTCAACTTCATGTTTCAAACGTGCTGTCTCATAATCTGACGATAATCTAAAGGGATTCGCTTAATCTGACAAAAACGGTATTTTTTTTTAATTTTCTTAAACTTAATTAATTGAAAAGCTCAGGAAACAGCATGCAAATAAATGAGTGTATGTTTTTGAAGTAGAATACTTGTATTCATGACAAAATAATTTCAAACAAATGCTAAAAAAATTAAATTTTTTTATAATCAATTGATCAATTAATGAATATTCAAATAAGGTTTTATGGAATTTCCATTACTGTGCCCAGTAATTTTCAACAATTGCTGTTCTTGAACTCCACTCTTAGCTAGTTGACTGACTGCAGTTGCTCTATTAGAGTGATTGGTTATTTTCCTCTGTTTCGTATCCAAGCCAATTGCTTCAGCAGAAGATTTCGTCCATCCGTTGATNTAGACAAATTTGATAGGATGATTTTTTTGGCAAAAAATTTTCAAACTTATATATTGTATAAGTTTGAAAATGTCCTTGTAGGACGAAACTGCAGAAACGTCAGTTAAAAATAAAAGTGGTAAAAAACATAGAAAGTTTAGTTTCTCTTTTCTTCATTATGATTTCCTACCACGTAGTAACGGCTACATCCATCAATTGTCTGATTGATTAATCATCATCTTCAGCTTCATCACGAACGAGTCTCTGTGATCAGCTGTGATGGCGTCATGGCAACTAAATTCAGAGTGGGTACAGAGTGAGAGAGCGATAGTTAGAGAAAAAGTGAATAGAGCATGGTGAGATAGAAACTCGTGCAGGGAAATATAGGTACCACACAGCTGCACGCATTAAACTTTATCGACGAATTTTTCGGCTTGCGGAAATCGTCAGATTATATATTTTTCGTTATCCTTGAATTATTTTCTTCAAAATAAAAAAAAAATAAGCTACGCTCGAGACTGTCGAAATGACGTTATGTTTTTACAACTTTGCTGCCCTCCCCTTTCTTTACGTCACTCTCAATTTGTCAGATTACTGGAATATACATTTTTATCAGGTAATTAATTCACCCTACCTTGATCTGACCAATCTGATCCTTTATCCCTCACAGGCGGCCTTATATATGGGGCTCATATTTGGTGGAGGTACTAAACAGGGTACTAGGTATCCCCCTGTATATTAATCTGCCGCGCTTTACTAAATCTCGGAAACCCCGCTTGGGCTCCCCTATCACTACAGAAAGTTTCAAAACTAGAATCGGGATCCGTGTATCAATTGTTAAAATATAAAAGTATCAAAAATTACAAAATGGGGACTGAAGATTTTGGACGGGACTCCATGCAAATGAAATATTCTTCACTTTCAAACCTACTCAAGTTCAATCACGTGAAAAGATTGAAAGTGAATGTTACATTTATAGAATTTGAAGAATAATTAATTTTCTGTGAGCTAAATTTTGAGAGTTGTTCATCATGTATATAACACTGCTCGAAGTTCTTTCTGGATCTGTGAAGAGATGGTTATCACCAACCATAACAGCTGAAATAATGTATCTGTATAACGAATCGAAGTTTGAACAATCTATTAGATCAGTTGAAATCACTTACCAAATGCCCCTAGTCGGTAATTCAATGTCACCAGTACAATTCCATAGTCCATGAAGAATTGTGGTCCAAAACTTTGAAATGAACCATCTCCCTTACAGAAGAAACCTCCGTGTACAAAAACGTAGACAGAAAGTAGTTGTGAAGAATTACATTCGTCTGGATTCTATGAAAATACCGGTGTCATGTTTCGTTTCGTAACATATAAAGTTCAGTGAATGAATGAAATAAATAGTACTTCTTGAAAATAACGTCGACAAAAACATTTAAGATGAGAATTGATGTTTATGATGATCGGGTTTTAAAATAGATAAAGAGCGCATTGGGAATTTCTCACTTGTTTGATTGCAACTGACCCACACTGTTTTTCAATAGGGAGTCGGAACAAAATTGAGCTTTGTGATCTCGAGACGACCCTAGGATGCTCATATTTTCTCAGCCAAATATAATAACAAGATCTGATTTTTCATTGTGGATTATTGCAATTGCACATTCAAAAATGATTATTCAAGTTTAATCAACATTTTTCAATAACAATTATTTTCCAGAACAGCATCATATTTTTGACACACCTTGCATATAACTGAAAGAATTTGTTATTTTATCTTGGATGAATTTTCATGAGGAATAATTTTTTTCGCTAAAACTGATGGCTTCAACACATTGAGACATACTGTGAAATTTGTCCTTCAATTGCCTGAACCACTATGCATGCTGTTTTCGTCGAGTGCATTGGCTTGGAATGTGGGGGTTGAGCAAATCGGCCATCGGATACGGAAATGACAGAATCAATTGTGGTTCTATTATTCCCTAACTGAATGGCATCCCAACGATGGCTTAATCCTAAGGTGTGTATCCTTGCCGAGAGGCAAGGATACACACCACACACACCACACCACACACCTGTGGGGCTCTGCCTTCTTTCCCCAGCTACTTGTGGGACTACTATGGACAGAGTAAACTTAAAAATTATTTCTGATGCCGAGTCTATAGAGAAGATGGATGTCGAGTTTAAGACTCCAACTGACCTCCCTGTGAATTTAGTTCAGGAGCGAGTCTACAGAAGAGATGGATGTCGATTTTACGACTCCAACTGACCTTTCTGTGAATTCAGTTCAGGAGCGAGTCTACAGAGGAGATGGATGTCGAGTTATCGACTTCAACTGACCTCGCTTTGAATTTAGCTCAGAAGCGAGTCTACAGAGGAGATGGATGTCGGTTTTAGGACTCCAACTGACCTTTCTGTGAATTTAGTTCAGAAGCGAGTCTACAGAGGAGATGGATGTCGATTTTACGACTCCAACTGACCTTCCTGTGAATTTAGTTCAGAAGCGAGTCTACAGAGGAGATGGATGTCGATTTTACGACTCCAACTGAACTCCCTGTGAATTTAGTTCAGAAGCGAGTATACAGAGGAGATGGATGTCGATTTTACGACTCCACCTGACCTCCCTGTGAATTTAGTTCAGGAGCGAATCTACAGAGGAGATGGATGTCGATTTTACGACTCTAACTGACCTTTCTGTGAATTCAGTTCAGGAGCGAGTCTACAGAGGAGATGGATGTCGATTTAACGACTCCAACTGACCTTTCTGTGAATTTAGTTCAGAAGCGAGTCTTCAGAGCAGATGGATTTTTACGACTCCAACTGACCTTCCTGTGAATTTAGTTCAGGAGCGAGTATACAGAGGAGATGGATGTCGATTTTACGACTCCAACTGACCTTCCTATGAATTTAGTTCAGGAGCGAGTCTAGAGAGGAGATGGATGTCGATTTTACGACTCCAGCTGACCTTTCTGTGAATTTAGTTCAGGAGCGAATCTACAGAGGAGATGGATGTCGATTTTACGACTCTAACTGACCTTTCTGTGAATTCAGTTCAGGAGCGAGTCTACAGAGGAGATGGATGTCGATTTAACGACTCCAACTGACCTACACCAAATTCTTGAGCGGCGTACGCAGAAAATGTCAGGTGGAGGAACAAACCACCCATGAGCAGGTTAGCAAACAAGATGGATGGATGTCGATTTCACGACTCCAACTGACCCTTCCTGTGAATTTATTTAAGGAGCGAGTCTACAGAGGAGATGGATGTCGATTTCACGACTCCAACAGACCTCCCTGTAAATTTTGTTCAGAAGCGAGTCTTCAAAGAAGATGGATGTCGAGTTAACGACTCCAACTGAACTCCCTGTGAATTTACTTCAGGAGCAAGAGCTTCTCAAGAGCAGGGTACCTTATAAAACCGCCTTGCACCAAATTCTTGAGCGGCGTACGCAGAAAATGTCAGGTGGAGGAACAAACCACCCATGAGCAGGTTAGCAAACAAGATGGATGGATGTCGATTTCACGACTCCAACTGACCCTTCCTGTGAATTTATTTAAGGAGCGAGTCTACAGAGGAGATGGATGTCGATTTTACGACTCCAACTGACCTCCCTGTGAATTCAGTTCAGATGCGAGTCGTCAGAGGAGATGGATGTCGAGTTATCGACTTCAACTGACCTCCCTTTGAATTTAGTTCAGGAGCGAGTCTACAGAGGAGATGGATGTCCATTTTACGACTCCAACTGACCTTTCTGTGAATTTAGTTCAAGAGCGAGTCTACAGAGGAGATGAATGTCGATTTTACGACTCCAACTGACCTTCCTGTGAATTTAGTTCAGGAGCGAGTCTACAGAGGAGATGGATATCGATTTTACGACTCCAACTGAACTCCCTGTGATTTTACTTCAGGAGCGAGAGCTTTTCAACTCCCGAACTCCTGATCCAATAACTGAATCTAAAAAAAGATTTGGTGGTGCAGCCAGGAAACGACTGAGTCGTCTGGTCGAATCAGGTTTCCATCTGACCTGAAAGACCACTCACCATACAAACTATGTGAGCCACAATTAACCCTTGCTGGTTGCGGTGGAGGGTCGAATAGACCCACTCACTTTGGACCCAACCTAATTTAACCTAACCGTTAGCTTTTGAGTCACTATATATATATGAGGGATATACAATAAACATTTTCATTCTCATCCACTTGTGAACTTGTAATTTAAACCTACCGTGGGCGTATACACGTTGAGATATAAACAGTCTTCAGTTTCTCTGGGATCATCTTTATATAGTTGCATACAAATTTTTTTATTTTTTGTGGTGTTCAAAATCCCAGTCCAGGGCCTTGGTGGTACAGGGTCCTATAAAGTATCGAAATGAGAAAAAAAAATATCAATGTGGATTTGTTGTCTTACTTTGAATCTCAAAGTTCCCACTGGAGGAGATGCATAAGGAATTTCTTGGAAAGCATAGTACAACGCTTCCTTGTGGCTTTTCAATGCATGTCCTTGGATCTTGCCAAGGGGAAGAGTGACAATGTACGCGGCTTCATCATCCTATAACAAATTTTTTCTTTACCTCTTTTCCGTAGCCGAAATAAAAATCTGATATCAGGTGAAATATAATTACAAAAAAAAATCAAATTGTAATTCTCTTTGTCAAACAGAAATATTTGTTTTGTGATACCAGAAATGACAGACTGAAAAGTAGAATGAATTCTACACAAACATCTTTCTCACATACCAGAACTGCAACATATTTCTCGATACGCGATTCCTCTGGAAAATATTTGTCCACGGAGGTGATTGCCTCTTCAATTGACGAAAATATCTGTCCTCCGAGCACAATTTTCAGATGAGGGAACACCAAGAAGTTGTTTGGGGCTAGATCGGGTGAGTAGGGCGGATTTTATTGAGGAGTTCAAACTGTAATTCATGGAATTTCGCAATGACAACAGCTGAGGTGTGAGACGGTGCGTTGTCTTAGTGGCACAGGATTTTCTTTTTCTGATGATGCATAGTATGCTCCTGTAATGGTTTTCCCTTTTTGAAGATATAATTAATTGAAATAAATCCATGACTATCCCAAAAACAGTCGCCTACATATTCCCAGCTGAAAATACGTGTTTTATCCAGGTTTTTTTTCTGCGGTCCACTGTTTGAACTGTATTTTAGTTTTATCTACAGTAGTCAATCGACTCCAAAATTCGTATTCATTGCGCCTAAACTGCACCAATTTGACTTACTCTGATATTAAATGTACTCATGAAATAAAAAAATGAGCAATTACCATTAGAGTATATCCAATAAAATGTGGGAATCTTCCAAAGAAATAAAGAGATAAATCAATTTTCAAATATGTTACTCTATACATAGATATGTGGATCATGCAAAAAAGTAACTTTCAGACGCAAACTGGAAGAAAAAAGACCTCCTGAAACCGCTACTTTTATATAAATATTGAATTTCCCGAAAAAAAAAACATGTCTCGAAGGAAATACTTTCATATTGACACACTTTTCCATTCCAAACATTTGTTATGGAATTGAAGCAGACTTTCTTCAACTCCATCTTAATACAAAAATATGTGGGAATCCTACACATTTCTTCAATTAATCAGGCCTAAAAATATAACCCCTTCAATAAAAACAGGATATCCAAATTATCAAAAATGTCAGTGAGCGCATATCAATTTTGGTAATTAGAGCAATACAAGCTGTAACTGAATAAGTGTAAAACATTTAAGGAGGTGATTCCTCATCGAAAAAAAGATAGGATCTTCAATATAAAGAAACTTCATTGGACCATCCTTTGTTAAAAAACAGCCCCTTGAAGGGGGTACATAAAATTTGTATAACAATTTTTTCACAAGCACTGAAAAAGTTAAATATTGAAATCATTCTGACGTTTTGTACTACCAAAAAGACACTCAGCCAGTATTTTATTTGGTTTACCCCATGGTTGTCAGGGGTGGAAAACGCAACTCTTAAAATTCATTTGTAACTTTTTGTTTTATTATTTGTTTACCATTCAAAACTTCATTTCCGATAGCCTGTTTCATTCTAAACAAAAAATGTCTCGTGGGTTTTTTGCCCAAAATGAACCAGTTCGCAGCAAAAAATTATTTTACAAACAACTACAGAGATACATCGTCATAAATACGAACTGGATTTATTGTTATTTTGTAGTTAGTACCGGCATCAAACGATTGAAGGGTAATGAACAAAACTAATTTATTATTAAAAAAACACACAACATGCATAAATCATAGTAAATGTTCAATATGTCTACCTTCAGACATTACCCATGCGTCTAGATGTCGGCACGTATTCGCTCAAATACTACAGGAGTCTCTCTGATTACCCTGCACGCATCGATGATGCGGTTTCTTAAGTCCTCTACATCGCGAACAGTAGTACGATAAACCGAATGCTGTAAATGGCCCCAACTAGAAAAATGAAGAGGATTGAGATCCGGAGATCGAGCGGGCCAGTTCTGTGGTTCTCCTCGACCTATCCACTTATTTGCATATGTTTCAATTGAATGCTGACGTGCTACTTGACTATATGGGCGGGAACCCCATCATGCATAAAAAAAAATTCCTTCTGACGCCCAAAGGAACTTCCTCCTTGTACTGGATGCACTTCTTTCGAAAATTGAACGTATGCCTCACCATTTAATCGAGGAGGTATAAAATGAGGCCTAATTAAATCATCCCCAGAAAACTGTTCTTGATGGTTAGTTTCGTTAGTTCAGGGTTAGTTTGCATTAGCCCATATGTGGTAATTATGAAAATTAATAATCTTGTCCCGATAAAAACTACATTCGTCTGTGAATTGTATCATCTTCAGAAAGTCACAATTTCTTCTAATCATTTCCAGCATCCAATTGCAAAATTCAAGACGGTTCGGAAAGTCTCGCGGTAACAGAGTACCTGTACTCGTTGCAGATGGTGAGGGTATACGAGTTGTTCTTTTGAAATCAGAAATACCGTCATATGATCAACATTTAGCTGGAAAGCAATCTTTCTAGTATTGGTAGTAGGTTGTTCTTCAATCAAATTAAGTACTGCTTCCTCAAGCAGTAGTGTTCGTACTTCCCGATGGCGACCACAATCCTGCGTTCTTTTGTCGAATGAACCATATTCTTGTAATCGTTGATGAAGTCGAGCAAATATTCTATGTGAAGAATGCTGCCGTTGAGGATACATTCCAGCATATTTTCTAGAAGCTTCTAACCCATTCCCCTGCGACAGACCGTAAACATAAAGCATATCAGCCATTTCCTCATTTGTGTATGCCATTTCAATAACAAGTGAATTATTGAAGTAACAAATTAAGAACAAAACAACAACAAACAATTAGTATTAACTCAATTTCGAAAATTCACAAACTGACAGAGTCATACCAATTTAATTGTCACTATCGCTAATAGCGACCTACTAGATAGATTAGTTTCGTATTTTCGCTTTTATGACGATGTATCTCTGTATTTGTTCGTTAAATAATTTTTTGCTGCGAACTGGTTTATTTTGGGCAAAAAACCCAAAAGACATTTTTTGTTTAGAATGAATTTTCAAATGCTAATCAAATGATAAGACAAAAAGTTACATTGGACATAAATTTTAGGGGTTGTGTTTTCCACCCCTTACAACCATGGGGTAAACCAAATAAATTTCTGGCTAAGTGTTTTTTTGGTAGTACAAAACCTCAGGTTAATTTAAATATTGTAACTTTTTTAGTGATTGTGAAAAAATTTTTATACAAATTTTATGTACCCCTTTTAAGGGGTTGTATCTTAACAAGGGATGCTCCAATGAAATTTCTTTATATGAAAGATCCTACCTTTTTTTCGATGAGGAATCACCTTGTTAAATGTTTTATACTTATCTAGTTACACCCTGTATACTGTCTGTTGGGTAATTGTTTCAGTTGGAAGGTATGAAGTGCCTCAGCCACGAGATACGAGAAGTGAGTTGTTCAGTTCATCTCTGGTGTGAAACTCATGTCTAGAACGGGGTTGCAGTTGTGTGGTATGGGAGCCTAGTGATCGTTAACAGTGATCTGAGAAATATTTGCGACCTAGTATCCAGACAAAGTTTCGGGTGTACTTATTTCCCGACTTTATAGCCTCCCAAAGTTTCGAAAATTGCAACCCATCGGCCTTATTTTTGTAAAATACAAACTATAGAAAAACACAAGTATATCCATTTTCCACATCACCTCCACATTTCATTTCACCTTCTTTGACACTTCTCTGTATGATGATCAATAGAGTTTATCAATAAAAGATTTATACATTTACGGAGCTGCTTCTTGGTAATGAACCTCTCAATTTTTCGTTTTTGAAGTTGATGTCAAAATCTGTAGTGAATAAGTTATTATTAACCTTACGATACCATTCATCAATATCTTATTTACTCCTTGATAAGAGAATAATTCACGGCATTTACTCACATTAGTATTATCGATACATTATTTCTAACCATAAAATCAATGCTTACTATTTAAATGAAAACTCACATTGTCTGCATTTTGACCAAGTAATAGTCCCACGATAACCGCTGTACAAAACACACCTAAACTAATTCTAAAAAACATTTGTATCGTATTCATATACTGCAGTATGTAGTGAATATAAGGAAATATAATTTCAACTATTCATACGTTCATACACTAGATATCAGATAAACTCCGTTGGAAGCAACAAACAAAATTTGACCCCACATGCTCTCATTAGGATGCGCATATTTGAATTTTGAAATAAACCGCCATGCGTAGATATAACCATGTTTCAATGTGATGAATAAAATTGAGTTCGTAATGTCGAAAGCATGTTTTATATTTATGGAAACTGCTCTCTCAATGAACCATTTCATCTGAACGGAATCGGTCAATAAATTTATAAAAAGTACCTGCTGTTTTATAAAAGAGAAACACACATCTGCAAGATTAACTTCTGTAAGGTATCTTGTTCAATTATCTGTCGAATATATTTCATTGTGATTCGTGGTATAAGTAGGGAAAGTATTTTTTACAGCAGGAATGGAGAATGTTCCTCCTGACGAAAATCAAGTAGTTTTCATAAAAGAGATCTAAACCAACGCATTTTAAACATTTTATCATTTTAACCTTTTTCTTTAAAAAATTATTGGAATACTCAAAAAAGAGGAATGAAATAATGCATTCAACATTTAAAGGGATTCGTTTCTATTTCACCATTTGGCAACATCGGTTATAGCTAATAAAGGACAATGAATGTGTTACCTGAATGAGACAAACAAAGTTGACATATTTCAGAGGCGAGCTGTTCTGTTTACTTATGTTCCTAGTTCCGACACATTCTGTGACATATGACATTTTGTGCACCTAACCTATCTTCCTATATATGAATAAATAACAAAACAACTGTTGTAAGTGTGGCTTGTGGAGGTGGTATTGGACTGTAATTTATATTTTGCCTCAATTGTTGATTTATAAAGATAATTTTCCTTATCTAAAGTAGAATATCTGGGTGAGTATGAATTATTTCAACTTTGCTGTTGCCAATATGTGAATTAGAAACAAATCCCTTTAGAAATTAAAATCCAACATTTGAAACATCAAATTGTTCGAAGTGAATTTGAAAAACTCATGAATTAAACTCAACTTTATTTTGTTCAAACTTGCATTTGCTGTAATGACCCAAATTGAGGAACATTCCCCATTGCATTGGGGAAGATACATGTTTTTCATTTTATTTCAAAATATCCATTTTCATGACTATTCTGACTGTGAGTGTCTGAATAATTATAAACTTGTATTTTTGAGACCAACGATGGAACCGCACATAAAACCAATTGCTGGCGTGGCGACGCATTCCGTGGCGACGAGGCACCATGCGCAATAGACTGTGCGATTCTCTTCCCACTGATTTGGCGTTACGCTATATCTCATGCCACACTGAGCTCGGATACCTATACTGTATACAGCTGTGTTTACTATTGTATACACAACCTGTCTTTTCCTAAATGAATGACTTTCAACATTAATTGAAAATGAAATATACTTGACAGTGATAATTATGAAAGTGAGCAGCCTCCTGCAAAATAAGCAAAATCAAACTACGACACACTATCAATTCATCATTAATCAATTTATATATTTGAATATTAAAGTTTGCATTTATATGTGCATTAAGCCCGCTATATTTGGTCTGTCTCAAGGGTCACCAAATGTAAAATATACTCTCTTGGTAGATTGAAATTCACAAAATTTTCATAGCATAAAGTATTTTCAAATTTATTATTAACCAATTTCATTCGTCTGAAAAATAATGCACTACAACATTTTTTCACAGAATACATTTCATGAGAACATTATTGCATTTCAAAATAAATCAATTAATTTTCTAATGATGGTGAAATTCATATCGGAACATTTATAACTGATATTTATAATTTAAGGTCTTCAGTAATATACTACAAAACCTAGCTGAAGCTATTGAGTTTACTACTATATTAGAGCAATAATAATTTTTTTTTCACTACTAAGCTGAGAAATTGCTATTATTTACTCCATTTCCCTAACGAGAATCAATATTTGTCACCCTTGGTAAATAATGATAATAAAAAAACACCTCGGTGAATAATGAGAACAATTCCAGCATTTCATGTATTGTCAGGGTAAATTCACTTCTGTGTTACAAACAATCCTCGTATTTTGAACAAATTCATCACCTTTTTCCACTGCAACATCTTCAACATGGACGTTTTCTAAGACAGCATCTCGACTTGCAGAAGAAGTTATATTTGAAGCTTCATTGTCTAAATTGCATTTTTGCACTAATTCGGCGATTCTTTTCTTATCAACTATTGATTTCTCAATATATCCTTCAGCCACTGCAGCCGACTTCCACCCACCGTGCCGTTTCAGGCTTAGTAAATCTCCTCCGTTTTCTGCGAGAAGTGTTGCCGAGCTACGTCTTATAAAATGACCAATATAACACTCAGGATTTTCTAATTTGAGATAATTCAGAAAATAATTTGAGATAATGATACCACTGGTCCAGATGACATTCCAGCTTTCATCTTAAAAGATTGTGCACTTGTGCTTGCTCGTTCTCTATCTATACTTATTAATATCTGCTTGAGATCGGCTACAATACCAAGGATCTGGACGAGATAGACGAGATATTTCAAATTATCGGCCTATCTCTATTATTTGCAACTTTACAAAGGTTTTTGAAATTCTGCTGAAGCGAGTTATATATCGGCATGTTAGCTACAATATAAGTATGAACCAACACGGTTTTATGAAAAATCGTTCAACGGTCACCAATCTTCTGACTGTAACCCAACATATTGCTGAATCTATTGACAATAGGGCCCAAACCAATGTTATCTACACATACTTTTTTAGGGCCTTCGACAGGCTTGACCATGGCATTCTACTGAACAAACTATAGCCTTTGGATTATCTCCATCCTTAATCGCACTCTTTCAGTCCTATTCATGGGATCGAAAACAATATGTTCAGCTCAATGGTTTCAAATCTACCGAATATAGTGCTTTTTCCGGTATTCCACAAGGTTCAAATCTGGGACCGTTGCTCTTCAATATATTCATTATTGATATTGTAGATGTTATAGATGTGTATTTCCTTTTATATTCCGTTGATCTAAAACTACACTGCCTCGTTGAGAACATAAATGACTGTGTAAACCTCTCAGCAAACATAGGACGGGTTGTAGAATGGTGTTATCGAAATAACTTGTCACTGAACCCGGATAAATGTAAGGTCATGTCCTACAGTTTGAAAACGGATATCTTGATCTTTGATTATTCAATAGAAAACGTTTCTCTGGTGAGACCAGAAACATTTACTGATCTTGGCGTCACATTTGACACCGCACTATCATTTAATAGACATATCGATAATGTTGTAACCTCCTCCTGTCGTTTGTACGGATTAATTGCACGTAACAGTAGTGATTTCAAAGAAACTTCGACTTCAAAAACTTTATTCTATGCTTTCATAAGATCAAAGTTAGAATACACGTCAGTTGTGTGGAATCCCTTTTATCAATATCACATTGATAGAATAGAGGCAATTCAATGACGATTTTTAAAACTGCTAAGCCTAAAAACCGATGGCAGTTATCCTCCAAAAGAAACAACCCACTCTGAATTGTTACAAAAGCATAACTTTTACAGTCTCCAAAAAAGGCGTGAATATTATAGTGTTGCACTAACCTATAAAATTATCAAAAGCATAGTTGACTGCCCAACATTACTGGAAAAGTTCAATATTTGCATTTCTAGAATCTGTTCCAGACACCCGAGTACTTTCTACATAAAAACATCTCGAACAAATGTTCTGGGGAATTCTCCGATCCATACCATGTGTAAAGTGACAAATTGTGTTAGCGATAATTTAGATATATTTAGTTGCAAATTGTCAAATATAAAATCCCACTTCCTAAAATAATTGTTTTGTCACCTATAATAAATAAAAAATGTGTAGTTTTTATAGTCACTTGTTTGTGATGTATTTATTATACTGTGTTATTTCCTGCTCTGTAATTGGGCTATGTCCTGTAGAGTATTGTATTACAAATAAATAATTAGCCACGACATATAGTACTTCACTCATAGTATTGTGCCCAATATTTTGTTTAATACGTTTACCTTAACGGTATAAAATAAATAGTTTTGTAATGTCAGTTGGCCTATTAGCTGAGTATTTTTTAATAACATCAACCCATTGTAGCTCAACAACAACAAACCTTCTTGATGTTCTTTTCTTTGAATTAGAAATATTCATTATGATAATATCATCACAAATATCTAAATCGTCTAGGAGCGTATTCCATAATTGATCTGTTCTGCAGGCACCGGTAACACCAATTACCATAACAGCCTAAATATCATTCCATCAAAAAATTAAACACAATCTTATAATAAAAAAGTATACCTTTTTTAATAAATATTCGTCATCAGGAGCTTCGACTATAAATTTGTCAATTACTTCCTTTGTGAATACTTTTGATTCCATCCATTATTCACAAATTAATTAGTAAATTTAAAGTCAGATCAGATAGAAGATTGGCCTTTAACTCCACCATCTTAGTTAATTCACCTTCTGTGAGATATTTTTCCTTACCTCATTTTGATCAAAATAGGTGTACTGTTATTTCCAAATTTATAGAAAATACCATACCTGGTACAAAAATTTCCTTTAAATCTCAAAACAACTTAAGTAACTTTTTAGTAAATTCTAAAGACAAAATCAACAAATTAAACAGAAGTGGAGTCTACAAGCTTAACTGTTCTGATTGTTCGGCATCTTACATTGGTAGAACCTGTAGACCTCTTTTCACTCGTATTAATGAACATACAAAAAAACCTGATAAATCTGCTTTTGGCCATCACATAAAATTTCACAATCACAACTTTAGTCCCAAAAGAAATTCCAAAATATTACATAAAATAGATAATAAAAATTTCCTTAGACTTGACTTGTTTGAAGAGTTGGAGATTTCTAAAGAACTTTCCAACAATGATCATTGTCTGAATACTCAAGTAAACTTAAACAGAGATTTCCTTCCCCTTCATAAGAGGATTATGAATTATTAATTAATCACAGTTTATTAATATAATTTATTCAATATTTTTCCTCTACATATTTAAGCAAACCCTTAATGGATCACTCCTCAAGTTGGTACCATTATTTTAACATGACACTTGACACATTCTGTCTCAAGTTGTCCTTCTTCATAAGATACTTTGACTGAACCACATGGCCTCAATCCAAAAATGTATTTTCTTGGCTATAAGCCTATTTTGTTTTATATAATTCAAATATTACAATATACAATTCACTTATCTTGATACTTCCTGTTGTCTGACAAGTAAGTAATCTCAAACAATTTTTCCAAATTTCTTAACCTTAAAAAAAATTTTACAACTTTAATTTCACTAAATTCCCCTTTTCAACTAGATCACTTACTTTCAGGTGAGCACTGATGATGACGAAAGTCGAAAGCGCTTTGCAAGAATTTTAAAATATTATACACTTTAATACAAAACCTCTTCGATTCATTAATTCAAATAAGTGTATTCAGCTTTTCCAAATCCTTTTATAATTACTGTTTTTTTGTTTTAAAAATGCTACAAGCTTGAAAAACCTTGGAATGTCAATATTTTCTTTCATTGCAAGTGTCGATTTCAGCATAGAATAATTTGCCAACAATGTCGATACCTTCTTTTCTTCAGATTTCTCTTTGAAATACGCTAATAAAATAAAACATTTCCTGTTACTTCAGCAACTTTCCTCTCTCTTTGATTTTTCTGGCAATAAATCACTACTTCTACTAGCTGCCACCGCTCTAACTTCAAGCGGGGTACACATCATCTCTAAATCATCGTCACTTGAATTTTCACCCATTTTTCAAATGATTATATTGACGTTTCACTTATATAGATCTTTTAACTTCTTCAAAGTGGCATCTAAATTTGAATTAAAACCGCATTTGGCAAACTGACAGCAATAATAATCATTGTACAGTGTTTGGTTTTCATGGAAACGCCGGCAAACGTTTTCATGGCCTAAGTAGATGTTGTTACGTCGGGTATTCAACATGGAAACTGTACCGTTTCAATTTGACATGAAACAATTCATAGCTGCCTTGGATTATCATATAACCAAGGACATTTTTTTCTCACTACAATACAGAATTGAGTTCTGAACATACAGAAGCGATGAGAGAAGTGAAATATATCAAAAATTCAATGAGATATTGCCTAGATTCATATCAATACCTCATATATATACCTCGGCTGAGAAAGCTATATGAAAATGCTCGGTAAATAAGAGCTCACTTGTCACCGTAGGCATTTAATATACTATTTTTCATGTATATATCAATCATATATATATATATATATATATATATATCAATCACATATTTTTTATAAATATTTCAGCACCCAACAATGATCACAGGGGTTGAAAAATATTATTATCGATGTTTCACATCTGCTAGGCGTTTCGTGACGGCTCCCAATTTTTTCTATTTCTGCACCCACATTGTTTCAATTCCATTATAATATCAAGTTCCTGAATGTGCATCATCTGGTGAAACATGTTTGTGCTCAAGTTCTCCATATTACAATGATATATCTGAAAATGTTACGTTACTTCTTTTGTTCGCTTATGACTTATGTTCTTTCTATGTGAAATCGTCATCAACGAATAAACTTCAATATTTTTCAATGTGCACTCTTGGAGTTTGATGATATCCATCGGTTTTTGTGTGAAACTGACTCAATGAAGAAATGTGTTGTTTGAAAATGAAAAATTCCCTTTTCTGTTGATACAATTTCAACATATCGGTCAAAATTGATTCTGGAAAGGTCTCTATCAATATCAAGTGATAAGTCTCCAGTGTGGGTGCCAGAATATACTAGAACGGTGTAATATGCTGAAATGAATGATTCTGTCTGAATATCTGAATAGATCAGAGGACCGAAAACCAGTCCTTGCGGCACGCCACATTCTACAATATCAATATTATCATTTTTCTATGGACACAGAATATTTTCATGCTTCTGAATTAGATAGTGAAGCTCATAAATCCTATTTTTGAAACTTATTTCATCTTTGATGATGAAGAAATGAAAAGCTATAGAGCTTTCTGCGAAAAAACGGATCTCCCGCGATGTATCCCATTTTTCGTTTCCTGCAATGTTTTCAGGAAGATATCATAAAAAACAATAATAGCCTTACGGAGGTAAATGAATACCACTGAATACTCTTTCATGTATTTGGTCAAAATCCGCGATTGCATTCAAAGTGTTGCTTTTTCTTAATAATGTCTTTGGTGAATTTGAAAAAATCACTCCTACTGTCACAAAGACCCGTGCAAACTCATTTCTTGGATATTTGAGTAGAACCAGAACTGTATCATTCAAGTATTCCATATAGCTTTTTGGAAACATCTGAAATTCTATTAATGAAGTGATCATTGAAAATTCGGGGTCATTGAAGTTGGGGCATATATCGTCTCACTCAATAATAATTAGAAGTTGTCTCAGTTTTCTATATCTTAGGCGCGGTTCCCACTGGAGCGATACGATGAGCGATGCGACATATGATTCGATGAGCAACCCGATCCTGATTTGACAGCGATCACTCATAATCGTGCATACATAATAGAAGCAACTGATCTAGTGCACACTGGAGTGATCGTGATTCTGCACCGATAATTATCGGAGTCGCGTCAGTGAGGGGGTCACAGCTGCCGGGTCGCTTGAGCTGAAGGAAGGCGCAATATCGTTCGACACGTTCATGGCGGATCAGCAAGAAGATGTGCAATCCTAAATCTCCTTCATAGAATTGGTGGAGCAGAACCCACGTTTCTTCAGTCTCCTTGATACCAATCTCAATGAAACATGGTAACTATTTGAGCTCATTCCATGAAACTCTCTGAATTCTTGTTATTATCGAGAGAGTTCACGGAAACCACTGCCAAACTGTGTTCAATATTAACCATCATATAGGTGTGGAATTTCTGGCAAAAACATAACAATCTGCACAAGCCCTATCAGCCTTGAACAGACAACCACAGGGCTAGTACTAGAGTGCCATCAAGATTTAGCCAAAGCCTCGGTAGATAATAACATTATCCTGAGGTAGGTTGAAGGGCACGACAGGAGAAAAGGCATTGCCGACTCTTCAGTCAAGGAAGCGGTTGGACTAAGAATTTTAGGACACCTATGGCCTGATGACTTCGATAATTGCGGAACTAGCTTAACGTCACACCCATGCCCAATCCAAGCCATCCCAAGTGATGGGATGGAATCAAAGAATGCAGTCTTGCCAGGATCACTCTGGGCGACCCTGGGAAGCTGGAACCGAAGAAATATCTGGCGATGACCAGGAAAAACCTACGCTTGACAGTAGGATTTCTGACTGACCACTGTCAACTGAGAAAACACTTCCATATTATGGAACTAGTGGACACACCTCTATACAGAATGTGTGAACAAAAAGATGAAACTGTCAGGCATGTCCTATGCGAGTGTCTGGAGTTACCGTCAATAAGAGAGTGTGTGTTCGACGAATCTTGGCGTACACCTGCCGATATAGAGGAGATATCTCCTAGTGATCTGTCCACCTTCCTGGAAAGGACAGGATGGACTTAGGAGGACAACTCCTCGGGAGGATTTACAATGGGTCACATGTGGCTTAAGTGCTGTGGGCCTACACCCACCCTCCCTCCTCTACAGATACAGATTTAATAGATTCCCGTTTCCTCCTTTGCAAGTACCGGTAAGCAAAAACAATATCCTCCTCTGAAGAGCTCATGACGACTGATGAAAACAGCTGCATCGTTGCTTATCCTATAGACTATCGTATCGTGTTCACTGAAGTGTTGCCAGAACAAAAATTGCATAGGGCGAAAAAATATTGATCATGTTGCACCTCTTATCGTTTCGCTCCAGTGGGAACGACACCGCATATCTACTGTAGATATTATTTCTAAGCTTGGAGATGATTGAATCGTTCCCCTAGCTATAGTAACGACCATCTCACGTGTTATTTTCTCATCATTTTCGCTAATATCCAATAAACTGGTTAATGAATAGACATAATTTGTTTCAGGGGAACACCCAGCGGCGATGCAGACTAGCAGGGCGGGATCCACTCACCAGATGGCGTTGCTGGCTTCACTTTCCCTGCTGGCAGTCGTTTCAACTAGATGATTATATCTCCAATAAATATTAATCAATTCTGTGCTCATCTCAATCTAGACTGTCTGAGTGAAGTGAGCCTGGCGAGGGGTCCGGGAAAATTAGTTTCTGAAACGTCTTCATAACGGTGGTGAAAAAAGCTCAACGATTTTATCGGTGATAGTCAAGTGATGGATTATTAAATTTCCGCTGAATTTATGCAAGATTTGGCAAGGTGTGTAACAAATGTTCTGCTGAATTTCACTAGTTCGGACTTCCATTGTCTACTATATAAAATAGAAGTCCGAACTAGTAAAATTCATCACGAAACATTGTCAATCACCTTCAAACAAAATGTTCTGCTGTTTCGATTACCATTTAATGATGAGAGAGGTAGAAAAGTTTCAGTGGATCAGTCTTTTCATGGAAAAATATTTCGCATTATAGATATTCTCTAATTTATTTTCTGAGAGACGTCAAATATCATTCCAACCTTAATTAATTCACTACTCTTGATACCAGCATAGACAAAATAATTGAACGAATTTTCAATTTCATTTCCAATCTATGACTCAAAGCATAATATTTTCAGTTACTGCTTTGCTTGAGTTCACGAACCATTCTTTTTTCTACCTCGTATATGAGGTGAAGAAATCTGGTAATATGAGCCTTCGATTTTTAAACGGTATCCCAAAATGAAGTTTTCTCTTCGGTAGGAACAGTAATGAAACATTTTCCGAATTTGTTTGAAAAACTATGCATTGGACTCGGAAATAATATTTTCAATTTCTGCCATTTCCTTTTGCCACTCATATTCATCAAACCTTTAGGCATCTAGCTCATTCGAAAGTGGGTAAAAATATTAAAATATGATTAATAATAAATCAAAACTGATAAATACAGTTTATTGAATGATTTCCACTATAAAAGGTTTTACTAAAACTGCGACACGTGTTTAGCTGTACAATAGTTTTCTCAAACGTATACTGGGAATAATCAACTTAATTATTTCTTTTTATAAGATTATTTCATAGAAGGTCCTATGGGTCCAAATATTACTTCACGAGAGCACTAATAAGGTAGGATTTAGTAAAAATGGAATCCCATAAGAAATCCCGAAAAATTGGGGTGAATTGTCACTTGAATAAGTTATGGATTTTGATCAAGTGTCAACCAATTTCATTACATATGAAAATAGGGTAATTAAGGTGAATGAATATTGAATAGTTTTGAAGATTACGGTTTTGAGTTAAATTTTTTTTGAGATCAGTGAAAAGCTATTACAGTGAACTGATTTTGTGTTACCATGAAATTGAGTTGAAACAGGTTCTGTGACAGATTTTCTCTTTCAGTTTGAAAAATGTAATACGATTCTAGGTATTTCAATTATCCATTAGGATAATACAAAATCGAAAGCTTGGTTGAAAACTCCAAATTATATTCAAGCATAAAATCAAAATTACCTTACAGAAATGTTGAGCAGCAATTTTTTAATAAAGGTAAACCAGGTTTAGTGTTTTGATCATTGCGAAACTATAATACTTCTCGGTTATATCAAAGTTGAACAGAATTGACCTCAGTTATGCCACTTTTCATATTTTTGATATTTTATGGTAAAGCAGTACCCACGATGAGAATATTTGTTAAAAAACTTTCACATTTCTACAGTATCTTCTTCAATTGGAAATATTTACGTTCAGCATTATTATAGTCTTCTCCAATCTATATAATGAAATATTTCAATTTGTTTCACGATGAGTTATTAAAATTAATTTTCATCTCCCATAATGATATCCCATATTTTTGAATTCTCCTTTTTATTCATGTGCCATTTCCAGTATATTTTTTATGCTATACATTTATCGCTAAGAACTCCATCTGAAAATATCTTAGGAATGTTTTTCATTATAACTGAATAATTATTATTTTTTTTCGAAAGTTGTTATTTCCCGAATGATATATCATTATTGAGTCTGATTTTTTATGTTTTATTTTAGGATATACTACTGGGACATAAAATGCCGCATTAGTATCAACTCTTTAGATTCTTATTTGATTTCTATTCATTACTGATATTCTCGATACCAAGTTAAAAGTAAAAAATAGAGCCATAACCAGAGGAGTTAAATCGGTTAGCACCAAGAGAATGACACTCAGATCTTTTAGCAATAAGGAGAAAGTCCTTATATCATAATTGGATATAAGGACTTCTATAGCTGCTAAATATGTTCCATCTTATAAAAGTGTTACTCCCAACTACATTCAATAATTTTTCAAACGTAAATATTTCTATTTGAAATGGTATCTGAACAATCCAGTTTCTGCGTTACCTAATCGCCTTTTATAATGTCTACCGCAGTAGTAGACGAAATGTCGGACATGAAAACCTGCATGAAAACGGCTAAAAAAACGAAAAAATTGTTTTGACAAGATTCAGTTACAATTCAAATATCAGGAATACAAGGAAACGAACATAATTTCATTTAAAATAAAGAATTGCACTTCTATTTTCATTTTCAATGTGAATGATGAGACATACGTTTTTGAAATAATATCTTCCATCATCAGGTGAGTCATTAACTATCTCAGAACATTCAAAATAAAAATTCGAATATATCACACCACCCTCAATGAATTCGTTTCAGAAAAACAAATTTCCTGGATAGATTTCCGAATGGAATCACCCTAGTGGCGACGAAACCAAACTTTCGAATTCAGTGTAAATAAAATTAACTCTCCTGTGGTGAAAAACGTTCGATACCGATTTGATTTCTGGTGCTAATACGATCAAGTGATCAAAGGTTGTGAAAGAGGAGAGGATGAACGTCCAAAAAACTTTCAAAATGTATATAATAATTCGTTTTATATTTCTAGAAGGCACTTTAGATGAACTTTAGAGAAATCATTGTAATTACCGTAGACCAAGTTGAGAGAAATTTTAGTAAAATCAGAAGTATAGCTGAAATCAATGAATCGTTTTCTGTTAGGGAGTGAGTACTTTTCAGTTAAATAATTTGAAACAGCCATATGAGACTATCTGTGGAAAAGGGACAAATTTCTAGGCTCTTCATGTATTCCATACTACCAAGGTTGTACAGATTTGTGTCCTAATGAAAATTTTGCACACTCTAATTTCAGCTGACCTTATACCTCTGCACATATGACCAATATTTCAAATATATTCACTTGACAATCCATTATCCATTGAAATTTCTCCAGATTTTCCAGTTTCCTGAACCTCAAAGATATTTCAATTTTCCAAATAGTAGGGTGCTGATGACGGTTCTGAACCTTTCCCTCCCCCCTGTACCTCCTCCAGTGCTACCACACTGACTTTGACTTTGAAACCCTTTTTTTTCGCCTATAACTTGGCCTTGAGTCGCGTGTGACGTCACTAAACCTATGAAACCTCTTTTTAACCCTCCGCCTATGATTTGACTTCGAATGCCGCAACGAGTCGATTAGCGTGGGTATCACGTCACATAACCTTGGAAATCATAGCCAATTCTGGACCTTTACCAGCAGTGGCCGTATGGCATGTGTCTAATGTTTGAGTGCAATTTCCGCCTGAGCGTACTGGACCTTCAATCTCATTGACGCGTTCAGTCTTTAAATAGACCCAGTGGCGAGAGGACGTACTGCTAGGACCCTCTACTAGGACGGTTCTCTGTAGGTTATTAATTTTGAATGGCTTGGTGGTTCGATGGTCGCGTCAGAGTCTTCAGTCTAAACGAGCACCCTGCGGTATGAGGACATACTTGCAGATGAAGGCAGTAGTTTCTTTGACACCCTGACAGTGAGGTGTGTGATGTACTCGATAGAGTGTCGAGACATTCCGCACTCTTCCTTCATTGTAAGAGTTTGTCGATAGCAATTATTTAGCACTTGTGTACACGAATGATCTGTGCTCAATTTCTATAGTATATAAATATCCAAAGTACAGCAGCTAAGGCTATATTTTCTAATGAATAATTCCGTATATGAAATCCTTTCCCAAGTTCACCTTCATCATTCTAGCAACGTTATTTCATCAAAATATATTCCTATCTATTTTGCAATATATTTCCATTTTGTTAGTTCGTTGCTGTCGTATTTTTCCATAGGTTGAATTTGTCGTCATTGTGACATTGAAGAGATTTTCGAACCTTTTTCAGTCGTATAATATTGAGACTGAAATTTTCTCCAATGTTTGGCTCAATGTATCCGCAGTTGAGAAATCGGTGGAGAAACCTTCTCAAAGACAAAAAAGACAATACGTTTATTGGAAACGGTCTTCGTTGTGAGAATCTGCATACTTTCATCAAGAGGAATATAATCACTAGCCTCTTTGGTAAGTAAGGGTTGATCTATGAGTTCATTTCGTTCAGGAAAATTCAAGTATATGTAATCGTATTGTTTGAATCATTCATGATTTATCATCATCCAACGCCATTATTTTTTTTTTCTGTTTTCCACAACCTCTATTCAGAGATGAAAGATTTATTAATATATGTAGCCGTGTACTCCGTGGTAGAAAATAATCATGAAAATGAGAAATAAAAACATCCTATATTTTTATATCAGTAACTGACGTTACCGCAATTTCGTCCTATAAGGATATTTCAGAAGAATAGGACGAAAATGCAGTAACTTTAGTTTCAAATGAAAGTAGTGTGAAAACATAGGAAGTTTTTTTTTTCATTTTCCAATGAAAAATTTTTGGTCAAGTGGTCTTGGGGAATCTAAGGCTCAAAAGTTTCCCTAACTGAATTGGCATCATTAGCAAACAAAGGTATGGGTTATTGGTAATGGTAATTCAAGTCAGGAAAAATGTATCTATTTATCATGATACTCATTTTGAACGTGAATTTAATCTTTATATTTATTTGTATTGTTTTTGTTCTCGTTTAATTTCTCTATTTATATAGTTCAGACTGGTTAGGTTTCTCTATGGCATTTCCAATTCGATAACTTCTTGGCAAATCAAATCAGTGTGAGAATATAAGAAAATATTTCCAACTGCTGCTGAATCTGAAATAACTCTCAAATTGGTCTATTTTACATGTTGACTATATGTAGATATATTGTTATTGATAATCGAAAAAATATCATTTGTTGTCTTATGAACATTTTATACATTATCTTCATCCATTCTATAAGGGATTGATACCTTCACGTTCAATTTATTGAATTCAATATATGGAGAATAAGTTACTGGACGAATAGTTGACAATCATTTGAATCATTTTTGGTACAAGGATTGCATTTTGT